GGTATGTGGGCCTGAGGGCCGCTCCAAGCAACAGCCTGGTGGACCAAACTCTCACAAGTCAAGTTTGGCCTCGGGCCGGGCTTGGGGAGTAGAACTCCCAGAACCCCATCAACCAAGTATCAACCAGGTATCATACCTGCTTGATGGGGTTCTGGGAGTTCTTCTACTCCCCAAGCCCGGCCCGAAGCCAGGCTTGACTTGTGAGAGTTTGGTCCACCAGGCTGTTGTTTGGAGCGGCCCTCAGGCCCACATACCCACCACAGCCCGGTTGCTCCGGCACTCCTTGAAGAAAACAATCTAGTTTCCTCTTGAAGATGTCCACGGTTGTTCCGGCTATATTTCTGATGCTCGCTGGTAGGAATTCGAATTGAATTGACGAATTCAGTTGAATGACAGAATTGACGAATTCAATTAGTCATATTAGTGAAGATGGCAAGTAAGTGAGGCTAGAGCAGTGGCTTGGGTCAGCTTACAAGCTGGAGGTCAGGGTGAGGTGTGATCAGTGTGGGGTCAGCAGGCAGTGGATACATGAACATTTCATCTATTTCCACTTTGTCAATTCCCTTGAGTATTTTATATGTCCCTATCATATCTCCTCTCTCCCTTCTTTTCTCTAGTGTCGTAAGGTTCAGTTCCTGCAGACGCTCTTCATATCCCATCCCTTTCGGAATAAAAAGTCCTAATTTCAAACTGCGAATACGTGCAGAGAGCCAGAATTTGGCTCCAAAATATGGCTCAAGGGTCAAACTTAAGATGTGAGGGATGTTTTGAAAACTGAAGAGGACCACTCCCAGAGCCAGCAACATCTCGGCAAGAGGAAGTTGGCAGTATTCAAGGTAGAGTCAACTGTGAGTTAAACACCAGTATATTAGTCAGCACCATTGCCTCAGATAGGAATATTTCAGTGTTAGGGAGTGTTCATTTACCTTTTTTGTGTTAATAAACGATTTGTAATTAGTAATGGTGTTTATTTAAATTTTCCCCCATTTTTATATGTCTTTATCTAATCATTATCCGCCAAACACACACCGAAACTACGACGTTGGTACAACGTTCGAACAAGTTTTAACACCTCCTAAGCAGTTATAACAACCAATATAGCAAGTTGTAACAACGTTCTAATACCTCATAAACACGTTAAGCCAAGATGTAACAACTTTATTACAAGTTGTAACAAGCGGAAAATAGGGACAGATACGGTTTGTGTTTCCAGGGTAAGATCCTGTGTTTTTGTAGTATAATCCCACGCGTTTTTGTAAGCCGCTTCATCGATTCAATATATTCTCCCTTGGTACATTTGCTAAACAACACTTTAAAGTAGATTCATCCATCCTTTCCAATAAACAGTCTCCGTGGTGTAGTGGTAAGACACTCGCCTGGCGTTCCGCGAGCGCTATGTCATGGGTTCGTATCCTGGCCGGGGAGGATTTACTGGGCGCAATTCCTTAACTGTAGCCTCTGTTTAACGCAACAGTAAAATGTGTACTTGGATGAAAAAACGATTCTTCGCGGCAGGGGATCGTATTCCAGGGACCATAGGATTAAGGACTTGCCCGAAACGCTACGCGTACTAGTGGCTCTACAAGAATGTAACAACTCTTGTATATATCTCAAAAAAAAAAAGGGGATCTACATTCTTTTATTTATGTTGCAATTGACTGGTTCTTTCCCGCAGTCAATTGGCATGATTACAGAACCTCTCGGATTACGTGGTGGCAGCAGTAAGTCTCTCAGAGTTGGCCTGAAACTGGAGTTTGCCTGAAGTACAGCGTTGCATTACAATGCTGTACTTCCAAGCGAAGTACAAGCGAAACCAAGCGCCACAAACGCTTGGTTTGTGGCGTCTTGGTGATCAACACTGAGGTTTACAGGGTGTTGGACTGGAGGCTTGGTGATCAACACTGAGGTTTACTGGAGGCTTGGTGATCAACACTGAGGTTTACAGGGTGTTGGACTGGGGCTGTGATCAACACTGAGGTTTACAGGGTTTGGTGATCAACACTGAGGTTTACAGGGTGTTGGACTGGACTGGAGGCTTGGTGATCAACACTGAGGTTTACAGGGTGTTGGACTGGAGGCTTGGTGATCAACACTGAGGTTTACAGGGTGTTGGACTGGAGGCTTGGTGATCAACACTGAGGTTTACAGGGTGTTGGACTGGAGGCTTGGTGATCAACACTGAGGTTTACAGGGTGTTGGACTGGAGGCTTGGTGATCAACACTGAGGTTTACAGGGTGTTGGACTGGAGGCTTGGTGATCAACACTGAGGTTTACAGGGTGTTGGACTGGAGGCTTGGTGATCAACACTGAGGTTTACAGGGTGTTGGACTGGAGGCTTGGTGATCAACACTGAGGTTTACAGGGTGTTGGACTGGAGGCTTGGTGATCAACACTGAGGTTTACAGGGTGTTGGACTGGAGGCTTGGTGATCAACACTGAGGTTTACAGGGTGTTGGACTGGAGGCTTGGTGATCAACACTGAGGTTTACAGGGTGTTGGACTGGAGGCTTAGTGATCAACACTGAGGTTTACAGGGTGTTGGACTGGAGGCTTGGTGATCAACACTGAGGTTTACAGGGTGTTGGACTGGAGGCTTGGTGATCAACACTGAGGTTTACAGGGTGTTGGACTGGAGGCTTGGTGATCAACACTGAGGTTTACAGGGTGTTGGACTGGAGGTTACAGTAAGGACTCTGGTGAATATCAGTCCGATAAATAGCGGTCAGCATTAACCTAGAATAAGAGGTAAAGGTTAGGTACCTTTACAACCACCCCATCTCCCCCTCACTCACCCTTCACCACCACATCCCCCCCTCACTCGCCCTACACCACCCCATCTCCCCCTCACTCGCCCTACACCACCCCATCTCCCCCTCACTCGCCCTACACCACCCCATCGCCCCCTCACTCGCCCTTCACCACCCCATCGCCCCCTCACTCGCCCTTCACCACCCCATCTCCACCTCACTCGCCCTTCACCACCCCATCGCCCCCTCACTCGCCCTACACCACCCCATCTCCACCTCACTCGCCCTTCACCACCCCATCTCCACCTCACTCGCCCTTCACCACCCCATCCTCCCACACTGGAGGGAAACAGCTTTGTAACACACCACCAACATGGGTTCAGAGATGGTAAATCGTGCCTCACAGGCCTAATAGAATTCTATGACCAAGCAACACAAATTAGGCAGGAAAGAGAAAGGTGGACAGACTGCATTTTCTTGGACTGTCAGAAAGCCTTTGGCACAGTATCTCACAAAAGGCTGTTACAAAAGTTGGAGAAGCAGGCAGGAGTAAAATGTAAGGTGCTCCAGTGGATAAGGGAGTATCTAAGCAATAGGAAACAGCGAGAAACGGTGAGGGGGGAGGCATCAGAGTGGCGAGATGTCACCAACGGGGTTCCACAGGGTTCTGTTCTTGGACACATCCTATTTCTAGTATATGTAAACGACCTTCCAGAGGGTATAGACTCATTCCTCTCAATGTTTGCTGATGACGCAAAAATTATGAGAAGAATCAAAACGGATGAAGATAGACAGAGACTACAGGACGACCTGGACAAACTGGAGGAATGGTCTAGAAAATGGCTGCTGAAATTCAACTCAGGAAAGTGTAAAGTAATGAAATTAAGCGAAGGGAACATAAGGCTGAACACACGGTATCATCTAGGAGTTGAAATCCTGCAAGTGTCAAATAGAAAGATCTGGGGGTCGATATCACAGTGAACCTGTCCCCAGAGGCCCACATCAAAAGGATATCATCAGCGGCATATGCTAGACTGGCCAATATAAAAACTGCCTTTAGAAACTTGTGTAAAGAATCGTTCAGGACCCTGTATACCACTTATGTAAGACCAATCCTGGAGTATGCAGCTCCAGCCTGGAGTCCATACCTAGTTAAACACAAGACAAAGTTAGAGAAGATTCAGCGGTATGCCACCAGGCTCGTCCCGGAACTGAGAGGATTGAGCTACGAGGAAAAGCTAAGGGAGCTGAACCTCACATCCCTGGAAAACAGAAGAGTAAGGGGAGACATGATAACCACCTACAAAATTCTCAGGGGAATTGACAGGGTGGACAAAGACAAACTCTTCAGCACGGGTGGGACACGAACAAGGGGACACAGGTGGAAACTTAGTACCCAGATGAGCTACAGAGACGCTAGAAAGAATTTTGTCAGTGTCAGAGTAGTTAATAAATGGAATGCACTAGGAAGTGATGTGGTGGAGGCTGACTCCATACACAGTTTCAAGTGTAGATATGATAGAGCCCAATAGGCTCAGGAATCTGTACACCAGCTGATTGACAGTTGAGAGGCGGGACCAAAGAGCCAGAGCTCAACCCCCGCAAGCACAACTAGGTGAGTACACTCGCTACCACACCCCCCCCCCCTCACTCGCCATCACAATAATCTTTTCCTACTCCGCCCTGACACAAGCTACAGGTGGTGGGTCAGGGCCAACTGGTCAGACCTGCAGCCTCCACAACCATGGCCAACTGGTCAGACCTTCAGCCTCCACAACCATGGCCAACTGGTCAGACCTTCAGCCTCCACAACCATGGCCAACTGGTCAGACCTTCAGCCTCCACAACCATGGCCAACTGGTCAGACCTTCAGCCTCCACAACCATGGCCAACTGGTCAGACCTTCAGCCTCCACAACCATGGCCAACTGGTCAGCAAGACCATCAGTGTTAACAACCCTTAAATCTAACATCCTATAATAATCCTAGCTACAATATGCAGATAACTTGCTGCTGATCTTAGACTAACCTATTAACCAATACTAACACAAATTAATTTAATAACTCGTTCAAAGAAAACGAGATTACAGTGGAAATTTCCCTTAAACATGGATATATATTGCAACGTCATAAAATATCTACATTCAATATAAATTAATCCCAAAAATTCCCAGTTCAGTATTAAAATTAATGAAAAACTGTTCCCTGTGACTGGATTAAATACATTTAGAATTAAAACCAACTCCTCCCCACCTTGGGCCATAAAGACACAGAAATCGAACCGGTTCTGGTGGCGTCACGGAGCAGGTGAAGGCGGGAAACGGCATTGTGTAACCACAAAACCTCTGGTGAGGACGCACCCAGAAGCAGCTACGTGTATACTCGTGAACTGGAGCCATCTAGACGTTCTTCAGCTGCTGCAACCCTTAAATAACGAGAGTACCTCGTTATCTTGAGTTGATTTCGGGGCTTTAGTGTCCCCTTGACCAGGCCTCCACCCCCAGGAAGCAGCCCGTGACAGCTGACTAACACCCAGGTACCTATTTACTGCTAGGTAACAGGGGCATTCAGGGTGAAAGAAACTTTACCCATTTGTTTCTGCCTCGTGCGGGAATCGAACCCGCGCCACAGAATTACGAGTCCTGCGCGCTATCCACCAGGCTACGAGGCCCCTTACCAGGCTACGAGGCCCTCGTATCCGGTTGGTCAAAATAATTCACATTTTATTAGAGGGCCCTATAATATATTATAGTCAACCGGTGATGAGGCCCGCGAACCAATAAGACACGGTGAGCGTCTCTCACAATCACTCAAATAATCATATTTAACCTGCCACTTCTGTGATAGGAAGTATATCTGTAGTTGTTATATTGTATTCTTCCGGCAGATCTTCTGTGGGAACCAAGCGACATTAACCGGTTGCTTCACGTGGGAACAGACGCCATAAAGCCAGTATAGGCCTTATAGTCATAAGGCCTATAACTGACAGACTGCTCACGTGTCTACGTGGGGAACTCTGCCCTCAATATCTTTAACCTGTATGTTCCTAGTGATAAGTTTAATTATACTGATCCTCCTATCTCTATTCAGATTGAGCCTACCATCATTATAGGTGATTATAACGCTAGGCATAGGAATATTGGTAATTCGCAGTTCAGTAATCGTAACGGCAACCAACTGGTGTCACTATTAGGTAGTCACGATGATGCACAGATTGTGGGTGACCTTGAACCGACGCATATCTACAGAGGTATTCTTGATCTATGTCTCGGTGTCAACGTCTCCCACACCGTCTGTGCCTCGTCAGTAGTGCCAGATATGGCGTCTGATCATCTGGCCATATTTGCCACTGTAAGCATTGGAAGCTCTATCCTCCCTGGTGGAGTGTTCAAGCGGAAGAGGCTGGCTGTGTCCATCGATCAACGAGACAATTGATCTCATGTGTCAGAATGGTACAGTTCATCTGAACCTTCATCTGTTGAAGATTTTAACAATGAGCTCACAGGTACTATCGAGCAGTTTATAGAATCACTTGATCCACCGTCCAGGCCACGTAACCCAAATTACACTGGTCATAGCACTTATGCCTATTATAATGATTCCAAATTACATGCACTTAAATGCACTGCCAGACGAATTGGACTAGCTTATAGAAGGACCCGCACTGCTGAAATGCTTAAACTCTTTCGAGCGGCTCTGGCTGAGGCCAGGGAACGTATGGTGGAGCTGAGGCAGACAGACTGGGAAACTTTTGTCAGTGGTCTCAATTCTCACACGCCACTAAGTCGGGCATGGAAGGATATCAACAAGATCAGAGGGAAAAATGCTGCAGAGATCTCGTACCCTAATCCTCTGCACAGAGCAAATGAGCTTGTTGATGCTTGGGCCACGACTTCCAGCTTTGACAGTCTTCCTCTTCCCTCACAGAATGAATTAAATAATAGATATACTGATAGATCAAGACTCCTTGACTTCATGCTTCATCAAGAGGATAACTGTGACATGCTTTTTACTGAATACGAACTAGACTCTGCTCTACATAAAGGCAGAGCTACATCACCCGGGGAGGATGGAGTTACTTACAGCATACTGCATATGCTTCTGCTAGTTCCAGGGCATCCCTTGCTTGAATTGTATAATATGAACTATGTAACTGGGGAGCTTCCAAAATCATGGACCAACAAGCTTATTATTTCCATTCATAAACCTAACCAGCAGAGTGCTTTTCGCCCAATCTCCATCATTAGTTGTCTCTGTAAGTGTCTTGAGAAGATGGTTCTCAACTGTCTCCTTTACAGAATTAGTAACATGTTGTCTCCCCAGGTATATGACTTTACGCATGGAAAGAGTGTACATCACTGTATTACCGCCTCCCTCATCCTGCATACTGAAAGGTCATATACCACTTTATTAGATCTTAAGTCAGCCTTTGACATTGCTAACCCACACGTCATTCTGAGCGAACTTGCTAAAATGAATGTTGGAGGATGGCTACTACGGTGGATAAGAGGCTATCTATCCATCAGGAAGTCATCTGTACTGTTCCAAGGGCATATGAGTGTAACGAGAGATTTTGAACTTGGCACTCCACAGGGAGGTGTCCTTAGTCCTACTCTGTTCAATGTGTTAATCAATGCACTTATAAACTCAGTAACTAGGAGCCCCAGCGAACACATCATTAGCTATGTGGATGATATACTAATCAACACCAGTGGGTATACCAACACCCAAAATGTTCTGAACTCTGTATTACACACATGTCAGGAACTAGGCTTAGTTATCTCAGTAGAGAAAACAAAGATCCTGAACCGACACCCACCCAGACGGGGTGGGGCTGCTCGCAAGATGCAGCTGCATGATGGCTCTCTGCTCGACTATGTAACCAGACACAAATACCTTGGTCTTGAAGTTCCACTGTACCACAATGTTGTAGCCAGACTGGGTCGGCAATGTAGAGAGGCTTCGTGCTCTCAAGGCTGTAGCAGGCTACCATCCAAGCTGTGGTGCAAATGTGAGAATTGGCAAAATGATGTATCTCTCATATATTAGATCTCTGATCGATTATGCTGCACCCATGCTTGCTCTAGTGCCTGGGAGAATGCTTGGAGGGCTGGAAAAGATGCAAAACGAAGCCATAAGGATTATCCTCGGATGCCTCCTGTTACGAACCCGACTACATCGTCGGAGAATGGAGAACCGAGCTCAGCCCCATCTAGGAGTCAGCTCCCTCACCCCCATGGTATCGAACGTAATGTAGAAAATGCCATCTGGTGCTGGCTGTCTAATACCTGCTAAAGGCTCAAGAGTCCTGCCTTGGTCAGCCAGAGGAGTCGCTGTGGATGACCTCTGGTGAGGTGGCGACTAGAAATCAGCGTCATCTGTTGTGATATGAGCTGAATGTCAATGCCAGAGACCGTAAGTGGTCTTTCCTAGTTTCATCAGTACCGGCCAGTTTACCGATGACGTGTCTGTATCCACAGAGGCGACATAGGGCTGCAGTGATATGGAGACAAGCAGTCTACCCTGGGCAGCCTAATCTCTCTAGACTTAATTTTGCTGGACGACTAAGTGAGTCGCCGCCAAAGAGGAATCGTGTGGTATCTGCTTTCTGCCAGTGGAATGGCAGTGAAAGGAGTCGGCGTAACCCGGGACTGGCGAAGGGAGACACGACCGGCAGTAAGGTGTCATTGAGGAGTGTAACTAGCTCGTCGCTAGAGGCTCCTACCAGGAGTTAGCTACCCTTGTATTTGTTTGTGTAGTGGCCCCTGTCAGCGCATGACTGAAGGTCTCTGCCAGCACTTGGCTGGAGAGTGATTGTGGGCATTCACAAGAGGCTCCTCATGATATTGTTGGTAGGCTGGCCCATTGGCAAGGGTAGACTCGTTGGTGTTTCCCAGTACTGGTTGAGGACAGTACTGTGTGTTGAGGAAACACGGAAGCTGACAAAGACTGCATTGCGTTAGCATCGAGGAGTGCTTGGTGTCCTATGTGAGAGTGACACATGTAAATATTCACGTGTAGTAATATTAGTTCATTTTATATTTAAAGTGATGGGGAAGTGATAATAAGTTAAGTGAATATATTGATAAAGGATGAAGTGTTGTGTTCATTTCAACTCCCCCCTTTTTTTACTTGTATTACCAAGCCTACTCCTTGAAAACCACTACCGATTTGGGGTCGGATACATTTTGGTTCCACCATCAAAGAACCCGTAACACCCTCGTACAACTAAATTACTAAACATTAGGAAGGAACTGAATATTTCATGTGCAAGTGATCGTATCACTAAAATTAATGTTTTAATTGGTATCGAGATGCTTAGGCTAACCCACCCTAACACCTGCACTGAAGCCCTCCAAGCCTTCTTCCTTGAAAGTCAGCATCCCTCCAAATGGATTACAAAACTGCCACTGAGGTCAGAATGTATAATATTCATCACCTCTACCAAGAGAGGTAACAACGACACTTTCCTGCCTCATGAGAGATTACACCTTACCAAATTACTGGCCCCCCCCCCTAAGAAGCTGATTAAAGAACAACCCTTGCTTCGACAAGAAGCAAGTCTTGAAGTGGGTAGAATATAGGTGTGTGCATTAATTGGCTGGTGTTGACTTCTTGATGTGTACTGCCTCGTAGATGTCAAGCTGCCTGCTATCGCTGTATCTATCAATGATTTCTGTGTTGTTTATTAAGACTTCTCTGGTGATGGTTTGGTTGTGGGAAGAAATTATATGTTCCTTAATGGAGCCCTGTTGCTTATGCATTGTTAATTGCCTGGAAAGAGATGTTGTTGTCTTGCCTATATACTGAGTTCTTTGGAGCTTACAGTCCCCAAGTGGGCATTTAAAGGCATAGACGACATTGGTCTCTTTCAAAGCGTTCTGCTTTGTGTCTGGAGAGTTTTTCATGAGTAGGTTGGCCGTTTTTTTAGTTTTATAGTAAATCATCAATTGTATCTTCTGATTTTTGTCTATAGGGATAACGTTCCTATTAACAATATCTTTCAGGACCCTTTCCTCCGTTTTATGAGCTGTGGAAAAGTTCCAGTAAAATAGCCTAATAGGGGGTATAGGTGTTGTGTTAGTTGTCTCTTCAGAGGTTGCATGGCGTTTCACCTTCCTTTTTATGTTTTTAGGATGTCTTCAACGAAACCATTGGAGAAGCCGTTGTTGACTAGGACCTGCCTTACCCTACAGAGTTCTTCATCGACTTGCTTCCATCCTGAGCTGTGGCTGAGAGCACGGTCGACATAAGCGTTAACAACACTCCTCTTGTACCTGTCTGGGCAGTCACTGTTGGCATTGAGGCACATTCCTATGTTTGTTTCCTTAGTGTAGACTGCAGTGTGGAAACCTCCGCTCCTTTCCGTGACTGTTACATCCAGAAAGGGCAGCTTCCCATCCTTCTCCATCGCGTAAGTGAAACGCAACCCAGAAAGGAAAGAAGTGGAGGTTTCCACACTGCAGTCTACACTAAGGAAACAAACATAGGAATGTTCCTCAATGCCAACAGTGACTGCCCAGACAGTCCGGACTGAAGACTTCTAATCAGACAAGACTGCCAGTTATTAAACTAACCCCAGTAGATTAATTAACTAACACTTAGTATAATTTTTCCAATTAATCGATAAAACCTCAATTGATAGGCTATTATAATTAATTAACCATCACAGTTGTGTTGGGATATGACTTGTGGGAGAATTTAAATCCATACGGTCCGCTCAATAAAACATACAGTCCACTAAACTATCGAAAGAAATAATAAATAAATCAATTATACATCATAAATAACAATTCTTTAAATAAATCAACTACTAATTAATTAAAATAAATTAAATAAAATCCCACGATTCACAATTCCCCACAACCATGGCCCCCAGTGTTGACAACCATGGCCCACAGTGTTGACAACCATGGCCCACAGTGTTGACAACCATGGCCCACAGTGTTGACAACCATGGCCCACAGTGTTGACAACCATGGCCCACAGTGTTGACAACCATGGCCCACAGTGTTGACAACCGTGACCCACAGTGTTGACAACCGTGACCCACAGTGTTGACAACCGTGACCCACAGTGTTGACAACCATGGCCCACAGTGTTGACAACCATGGCCCACAGTGTTGACAACCGTGGCCCACAGTGTTGACAACCGTGGCCCACAGTGTTGACAACCATGGCCCACAGTGTTGACAACCATGGCCCACAGTGTAGACAACCATGGCCCACAGTGTTGACAACCATGGCCCACAGTGTAGAGAACCATACCTTCACTGTGGTAGGGTTGCTACTGGTGATGTAACCAACACAACACAACTCGCAACAACTCAGGAGTCTCACACAACACTTCCCTCACACTAAACATGAGAGAACTCTCTTCTCTCTCATAATAAGATGATAACAAAAGACTTAGCATGTTAAGTTAGTTAAAAAAGGACGTTCAAATATTTCCTACTTCACACATTCATCTCAAGTCAGTTTGTGTCATAGAGAATAATTGCATATATAATGAATTTTGGATTAACTGTTATGATAAAAACTCCAGGTGATTACTTTACCTATAACAGCAGCTGGACTAGGCGAGAAGGAGCGGAGATGATGTGTACACCCTCACAGTATGGTGGCCAGAGCCGCACTGATGAGGCCGGCTGGCTGGGGTACCTCTGGACCAGCGTCTCCTTGGCGGCCTTCCAGACCCCTCCCTCCCTCCCTTACTACCACCACCACCACCACTACTACTACTACTACTACTATCACCACCACCACCACAAGAACCTCCACAGCCACCACCACCACCATCATCACCACCTCCACCACCACCCCAACCACCACCACTGTGGGAAAACTTGACTCATGTGAATCATATAAATTGATACTATTTAGATAGCTACGAAGGACCACCACTTTTTTGAGAAAAAGTGGAAAACAAAGGTAGAGCAAGTGGTTCAATATTTTACTCCATGAACTAGTGTCCTATGGAAGTTTAAATTAATATTACATTAAATATTAAAGGGACTGTATTATGAGTCAAATTCACCCACCCAAATAGGGGGGGGGATTACATGATAAAAGATTAGTGCATCCCTAGCATTATTCTGGCGGTGGTTCTTCGCCAGAGTAAATAAATTATGAAAATAAATAAAGTTGATTATATAATAATAATTAGAGGTAAATGTACCTCAATATATTACTGTAATATTTAATAGTATATGGTAAATCAAAGGGTTAGTATAATTGGTCTCCTTGAGAGATCACTAATATAACTACAGAGTTATTACTACGGATCAACATGAGCAGCTTAACTTTATATCTAGAGAGGTGTAATCGGTTGCCACGCTCCACCGACGACGTGTTGCATAGGGCAAATTATTGCACGTGAAGGTAGGGAAGCCTAGCACCTCGGTCGACGTCGACCCGGAGCAGGAAGGCAATTACATTGTAGAAATCTTCTTGATAACGAACTACATGTACATCCTAGATCCTAGGGAGCCGGTCGGCCGAGCGGACAGCACGCTGGACTTGTGATCCTGTGGTCCCGGGGTCGATCCCGGGCGCCGGCGAGAAACAATGGGCAGAGTTTCTTTCACCCTATGCCCCTGTTACCTAGCAGTAAAAATAGGTACCTGGGTGTTAGTCAGCTGTCACGGGCTGCTTCCTGGGGGTGGAGGCCTGGTCGAGGACCGGGCCGCGGGGACACTAAAGCCCCGAAATCATCTCAAGATAACCTCAAGATCTCAAGATAGATTAAGGAATTCTTCTTGTAGGAAAATAATTGATATATATGTTCAAGCACTGTAAAATTCTTCTACAGAAATAATGAATATAATCGCCTATTTAGATTATAAAAGTGCTAGAGAGGACACGTACGGGATTTTGTTATTTTATATACAGCCTAACGACAACTAGCCTAAATGTTAACTGTGGCCACATGGTAACAGAAAGGAAATAATAGTTGCTGAGCCGCGTGTCCGTTGATGTAGAGAACTGTGCAATCCTTCGTCCTCCAGCTGCTGCGTGGAAGGCGTTGACTATGGAATTGCAGTTATACTAGTTTTGGGACACGGCTGTGATGTGTCAAATGACGTGGCACCGATCTACTGGTCGTGGGAGCGAAATAAGTAAGATCGAAACGTAGCTCTCTGTTGCACGCTGTCAATGGCGTCCGAGTCGCGTGGTGGCGGGCGGCGCTCTCGCGTCGTCTTCCTCCTCCCGATTGCGCATGCGCGGCTCTCGATAGACATCTCGAGCATAAATGGATTTTTATATATCGGAATTAACTAAGGAAGGAAGAGATGGTGACGAGTATTGATGTCACATTTAATTCTTTCGTGTTAAAATATAACTTCGCGTAACATAAATTGGTTTATTAAAGTTACGTAGCTAATCGAAGAAATTAAAGTGAAATCATTTACATTAAAATAATTTCCTCTAGAATGTTTAATATCAGCTAAATAAGGGAGTTCCAGTAAGCAGTAGTATATTACGAAAATAAACTCATTAATGAGTAATTATACTTAGTAAAGGAAATGATAAACTGGACTCTGTTATAAATCCAACTAAATGTGGAAAGAATTCATGTTTCTGCCTGTCGTTCCTCACGTCGTTAGTCTGACTAGGAAGAATCTGACAATATGGCTTTTATAAATCATGATGAGGATTAAATCTACAAGTTAGTAATTTTAGTAACTACTTGTGGTTAATACAAATGTTGTATAAAAATACAAGAGATGTATGAAACTGTTGGTTATTTCCAACAACCAACACCACCACCACCACCACCACCACAGCCACCAGAACCACCATCACCACCAACACCACCAACACCACCAACACCACCACTATCACAGCCACCACTACCATCACCACTACCACAGCCACCACCACCACCACAGCCACCACCACCACCACAGCCACCACCACCATCACTACCACCACCATCACTACCACTACCAACACTACCACTACCACCACCATCACCACCATCACCACTACTACCACCACCACAACCACCACCATCACCACAACCACCACCATCACCACAACCACCACCATCACCACAACCACCACCATCACCACAACCACCACCATCACCACTACCACCACCACCACCACCACCATCACCACAAAAAACACCACCACCACAACCACCACTACCACCACCACCATCACCACAAAAAACACCACAACCACAACCACCACTACCACAACCACCACCACCACACCACCACCACCACCACAGCCACAGCCACCACAACCACCACAGCCACCACCACCACACCCACCACAGCCACAACCACCACCACCACAACCACCACCACCACAGCCACAGCCACCACAACCACCACAACCACCACCACCATCACCACAAAAAACACCACAACCACAACCACCACTACCACCATCACCACAAAAAACACCACAACCACTACCACCACCACCACAACCACCACCACCACCACCACAGCCACCACAACCACCACCACACCCACCACCACAGCCACCACAACCACCACAGCCACCACAACCACCACCACACCCATCACCACAGCCATCACAACCACCACCACACCCACCACCACCACAGCCACCACCACAGCCACCACCACCACCACCACAGCCACCACCACAGCCACCACCACCACCACAGCCACCACCACAGCCACCACCACCACCACAGCCACCACAGCCACCACCACCACCACCACCACAACCACCACAACCACCACCACCACCACAGCCACCACAGCCACCACAGCCACCACCACCACCACAGCCACCACAGCCACCACCACAGCCACCACAACCACCACAGCCACCACCACCACCACACCACCACCACCACCACCACCACACCACCACCACCACCACCACAGCACCACCACCACACAGCCACCACCACCACACCCACCACCACCACACACCACCACCACCACCACCACCACCGCCACCACCACCACCACCACAGCCACCACCACCACAGCCACCACCACCACCACCACAGCCACCACCACCACCACCACAGCCACCACCACCACCACAGCCACCACCACCACCACCACCACCACCACCACCACCACCACCACCACCACCACCACCACCACCACCACCACCCACCCACCACCACCACAGCCACCACCACCACCACCACCACCCACCACCACACCACCACACCACCACCACACCACCACCACAGCCACCACCACCACACCACCACCACCACACCACCACCACCACCACACCACCACCACCACAGCCACCACCACCACAGCCCACCACCCACCACCACCACCACCACCACCACCACCACCACCACCACCACAGCACCAGCCACCACAGCCACCACCACCACCACACCACCACCACCACCCACCACCACCACCACCACCACCACCACCCACCACCACCACCACCACCACCACCACCCACCACAGCCACCACCACCACCACCACAGCCACCACCACAGCCACCACCACCACCACCACCACCACCACCACCACCACCACCACCACCACCACCACCACACCACCACCACAGCCACCACCACACCACCACCACCACCACCACCACCACCACAGCCACCACCACCACCACAGCCACCACCACCACCACACCACCCACCACCACCCACCACCACCACCACAGCCACCACCACCACCACCACCACAGCACCACCACCACAGCCACCACCACCACAGCCCCACCACCACAGCCACCACCACCACCACACCCACCACCACCACCACAGCCACCACAACCACCACAGCCACCACAACCACCATCACCACCACAACCACCACCACAGCCACCACCACAACCACCACATCACATCATCCCTGGCAGCCATCCACACACCATCCCTCTCGCCCTCTCCATCTCCCTCTCCCTCGCCCCCTCCCTATCTCACTCTTCCTCTCTTGCCCTCTCTCTCTCTCTGGCGAGGGAGAGAGGGCAAGAGGAGAGCCTCTCCTCTCCCTCGCTCTCTCGTCCTCTCCCCCTCTCACTCTCTCTTGCTCTATCTCTTGCCCCCCCCTCTCTCTCTCTTGATTTCTCTGTTGCTCTCTCTCTCTTTCTTGCTCTCTCTTGCTCTATCTCTTTTACTCTCTCTCTCTCTCTCTCCCTTCCTCTCTGCTCCCTCCCTCCCCTGGCTAACCCTTTCAAAACATATAAGGGAAAGGTACTAAGATGGCAGGAGGACTCACCAGGGACACAGGGAATAGCCAAAGTGACAAAATGAAGGCAATGTTAGCTGAAGTGGGAGGAATTCAGTAAGGAGATGCATGAAATGAAGAATACAATTAGCAACCTGCAAAGTGAGCTGATAGAAGCAAAAGAGAACAAATCCCTCACAGAAAAAAATAATGAGACTGAGCATCAGATAATCATCCAAAGGGAAGATGGAATTGTCGCATTGGAAGGAAATGCCTCTGTACCTGAAACATTTGCAGAAATACTGAAAAAAGAGCACAGAAGCAATGGCCACAGTGAGGGAGGTAGCCATACAAGCAGCTACCTCACAGGAAGCAGCAAGGTGAACCAGTCAGCTGCTGGAAAGAAAAAGATCAGTGATAGCTGTAGGCATCAAAGAACAGGAAAGATCCAATAGGCAAGAATGGAAGAGCAAGGACAGAGAGGCAGTAAATGGGACACTAAAAGGGGTTAAAGATGG